CGGTTTATTTGGTATTTCAAGTTGTTGTTCCAACTTAATTTCCAAATCAAACTATTTTTTAATCCATTCCACAAAAGAACTGGTTGCGCCCTTGGTCTCCTGTTCCCCCCAGTTGTACTGCTCAGTTTCCTACTATGCACTGCTCAACTGCATTTTGACTCATATCTCCCCCGCGTCTTCTTGATCCTTATTCTTTAGGATCAAGAAGATGTGGGGGAAATCAGGGGGAGATGCGGGTTGAAATGCAGCCACACAGCAAATAGTGGGAAATTAAGCAGTACAACTGGGGGAAACGGGAGACCAAGGGCACAACAACTGCTTTTGTAAAATCAATCTTTATCTTTAGTGAAAAATGAATACAAAATTTCAAAAGGGAAGAGAAGGGGGGGAACAGCCTACAAAACTATGTTGAATAGTAAATATCAATGAAGTTAATATAAATATCACATTCATATATTAGTAAAAATAAAGATAGCTTAAAACATGAATAAAAAGTTGTTTGCACTTTGCACCTAAACAAGCATACACAGACAAATCTAATCTAACTGAGGAATAAAGTGATATTCAGTGCCTACTCCCTTATGAACCTGCTGAGTGCTGACCACTACAATAATCTTCGGAGGGTTTGGGTTCCTTCTGAAATTAGGCAGGTGGCAACCTGAGAGAGGGCCGTCTTGGTCATGGCACCAAAGTTCTGGAACTGCGTCCCCAGAGACTGTGTTGTCTGTCCCCTTCTGTTGCCATCTTCTGCCCTTAGGGATGCCTCCTTCCCAACCTGTGTTTTAATTGCTGACTTTATGATCTGTATGTATTTTAACTCTGTTTTTTAATTGGTTAGATGTGTGTTTGGGTGGGCTGATTTTAATGGTTTTAAAAAGTGGATTTATTATGAATGTTTTAAATTGCTAGCCGCCTTGGTGGCTCTGGTAGAGGCAGAAAGGAAGCATACAAATTTTGTAAATAAAATAAACTCACTTGTTGTTTTTACACAAATGGCTGGTGTGTATGAGTGGTACTTTCAGTTGATGTTACAATGTCCTCCTATTTGCTAAAAGCCTCTCTCTTATTTTAGGAGCTAATACCAGCACTGCCAGAATGAAAGATGCTGGGCTTATTTTGGCAGATACTCTCCGGGAATTCTTATTTGATCTGAATGTGGATGATGGCTTAGCTGCTCTGGGTTATTCTAAAGCAGACATCCCATCTTTAGTCAAAGGCACCCTGCCTCAGGTAGGACAGATGGCAAAGACATTTTCTTTTAAATAAACTTGCATTCAGGTATTTTGCTTTGTCAGCTTTGTTGTTCTGTTGATAGCAAAGAAGAGAAAGTAAATATTGGATAAAATCATAATATTTTTTATACAACACAGAATTTTCTTAATAGAATATGGAGTTCTTTTTCTGATTTTTTTCCTCCCATATCGTGTTTACGTTATGAAAGAATGGCTAATAACAAATAATCTTATCCTGTGAAAATGGCTACATCAGTGCAGCCATACTCTTTCTTGGTCTCAGATATGCTTAGAGAGGTAAAGAAAACCCAGAAGGTTCTACTGTTAGGAATTCTTTGCTTTTATTTATATAAACACACACACTTTTCTGTGAGAAGTTAGCCTTGACTATTTTTTTAAGTAAATGAGTCTTTAAAAGGTGAGATTTTTTCCATCTGGTTTACTTTTGTAAAGTGGCGTTAAGAATTTACACATGTGAAATTTAGACATGTGAAACTGACAAATTACTATACCCTGTAAATATCATGTAGGAGATATTTTCTGTACATTATAATCTTAGCACATTAAAGAAATTTCAAGAAGTATCTTATCGAGAGAAATTTCAAGGGGAAAATCACTTCAGAGCGAATCTTCCATATCAGAAACAGTTGAGTGAACTGACCTTTATTGATTCATTCTGTCTGACATCTGAATCAGAAAGCAGACCGAAATCCATCAATACAGGCTGGTTTACACAGTCAGACACAAAATGTACAGCCTGAAAAGTAGAATTATGGGATGAATATGCCGATCTGAAGCAAAGATATTGTCTCTGATTTATAAATTCTTGGTTCTGAAAACTGTTTCAAAAATACTACTACTGCTACAACTATCTCCACTGTTTTTATATTTTTTTCATTTCACTTCATACTCCACTTTTCTTCCCAATGGGGACCCAAAGTGGCTTACATCCTCCTCCTCTCGCAACAAACCCCACAAACTTCCATGGCAGAGTGGAGATTCATGTGTGTCCCAGATCCTAGTCCAACTCTCTAACCATTATACCACGCTGGCTTTCTTTGTGTACAAAGAATTAACATCTCTTGTTGAAGTCTGGAGAATGGATAAAGCCAGGATCATAGGGCAGAATCTAGCTCCTGTTTAATTTGTCATATTACATCACTTGTATGATCAGATAGACAATGCACTGTTCCATCAGCACATTCAAACTGGTTGATAATTGTTAGAAACACAACATTCCAGTCATTTTTCTAAGGTGGCTGCAAAGGAAATCTTGCTGAGTTAATAAGTATTGATTTTTTTCAATTTAGAACTTATTCACTGTAGCATTAGCTGGTATATGAGTTTATTGATTTCAGAGTCTCCTTCACTATTAAATATATAAACAAGCTAAATAGAAGATGAGGGCTTCATGATAAGTTACTTGCAGAAGGGTTCTCTACTCCCATCTTTGGTTCGAATTGGGCAGGGGGGATGTAAAGTACTATGTTGGTAAAGATGCTGGAGAGAAAAGTATTTTCTGGAGAAGAAGAAGAGAAGAGATTGGATTTATACCCCACCCTTCACTCGGAGTCTCAGAGCGGCTTACAAACTCCTTTCCCTTCCCCTCCCCACAACAGACACCCTGTGAGGTAGGAGGGGCTGAGAGAGCTCTTTCAAGAACTGCCCTTTCAAGGACAACTCTTGTCTGAACTATGGCTTGCCCAAGGTCATCCAGCAGCTGCAAGTGGATGAGTGGGGAATCAAACCCAGTTCTCCCAGATTAGAGTCCATGCACTGAACCACTGCACCAAACTGGAGTTTCTGTGTTTCTTAAAATCAGTTAATGTGAAACATTGGTGATGATCTTCTGTGTAGTTTTCACTGCTGCTGCAAATTCATAACAGCTGCAGATCATCCACATGGTAGTTTTTCCTGTACTCTCTTGCCTCAGCCACATCCCACTATCAGCAGGCTTTTGGAGCCTTTTTAAAACTGTGCCATTGCTTGAGTGCTATAATGCAATAAAGTTATAACAGTGTATTGCCATGATTGACTAGCTCCTCTGTATTCCCTACTTTCATTAAAAACAAAATTAAGTCTCTAGCCCTTTTCATTGCAGAAATATAAGGGATACACCTTTCCCCTTGTATCAACACAACAAAAAGACTTACTTTTTCAGAGAAGCTAGTAGACACTGGCAGTACATCATTACTGTATTACTGTTCTGCAGCTGTCTAGTAACTGCTAATTTTTAAAAAGCGGCCACAGGCCTTCCAGTTCTGTGGGACAAAATGACAACTGCTGGGGGCTAAGACAAGGAAGACAGTGCCTTCCCACCCACTGGCCTGCACCACATTTTCAGCTTTCCCTCCTTCCCTCTCCTTGGAGCCTCTCCCTGCAAAAAGTCTGGCCCAGCTGTGTGGTACCAGCCTGGCCACTGGGCTGGAGCTAGTAGCACAGCAACCAGGCTGGGGCCCAGTTGCATGGTGGAGAACCTGCAATGACTTTCATGGAGCACCTGACTTTCCTCTGTATCCCCCAGTGTTTCTCTATCGGTTGCCTATTCACTAAAAACAGTAACATATTGTGTATAAAACAAAGTTTGAGTCCAGTGGCACATTTAAGACCAACAAAATGTTATTCAAGGTATAAGCTTTCATGTGCAAGCACACTTCTTCAGATACAGTGAAACAATTTCCTCCGCCATTACATATAGAAAGGGGGGGTTAGTTGCCAGGAAGGGCCAATTAGAGTCAAGACAGAGACAAACATGGAAAATACCGGTCTGTACATATAGTCAGAGGATGAGCAATTGTAACGGTTGAGGAAATTCTGTTTCACTGTATCTGAAGAAGGGTGCATGCACATGAAAGTGTACACATTGAATAAAACTTTGTTGGTCTTAAAGGTGCCCATGAACTCAAACTTTGTTCTTCTGCTTCAGACCGACACAGCTACCCACCTGAAAATATTTTATGTAAAACATACAATAATAGGATTAATTAGTTTTATTAAATACCCTCAAACTGATGAGACATTTTATTAACCCTCCATCCTGATTATCATTTTCTCACTTTTGCTTTTTCTTCCTCTTTCTTCTCTTGTCCTGCCTCTCTTGAATTTATTGGCTGATCTACTGTAATGGTACAATGGGTTTCTGGTAACAGAGGAGATATCCCTTCAAGCAGTTATTAGATTAGTTACCCTGATGCCACAGAGTGGCTAGCTTGCCATGCAGATCAGTTGAGTGGAGCCATCTGCTGGGAACAGACATGATGGTTATTGTTCATGTTGGAATGCTTTGCATCACAGCATGCTACTATTGCAAACCCAAAACCCTGCAAACCTTAATGGAGATGTACTCATTAAACTACCTGAATGGTCAGTTCTACACCCACCCCCAAAGGACTTGGGCCCCAACTGGGAAGTTGGGTGGGAAAGTATTTTGAAGAACAGCTCCAAAAAGTGACAGAAGAGAGAAAGAACATGTACAAACCATCATTTTCATCACATTAGTATCACAACCACATACTCTGGAGTAAACCAAAAGGTTTCATCAAGATTAGTGAGGAGCATATCACATCTTAATCAATTACTAACAAATAGAGGACCTTTCAGTACCTATATAATTCTGTTTTACTTTTCTTTTTAAGGAACGAGTGACTAAGTTGTCCCCTCGTCCCCAGACTGAAGAAGAATTAGCTGCCTTATTCGAAGCTTCCATGAAACTTTATTAGTTTTAAATATTTAATATTTTTTCTGTGCATGGCTGATGACATTCAAATACTGGCTACGCCTACACTACAACTTCGAATCTGGGAGCCTCATATATCACATGCTCTCTTAGCTCAATATGTCAAACTGGTCAGCACACATTGAGGGGGAAAATCAAAATATTGGGTCTATCTATAGAATCATTGTCTATGCTGCCCTCTGCTGCTACATTTCAACAGATTAAAAACAGGATTCTAGACACTGAGCACCAGAGATTATACATTTTAGTTAATAAAACCTGCTCCCCTTTGAGTTTCAAAATACCTCTTTCCACAGGGAAGGTGGCCTCATATTTATCTTCCCTGCAGGTTCCTCAGCAACGCAGAGTGTTTACGCTGGCCAGATGTAACACTATGCCTTCCACCATTTTACATGGCAGATTTAACAAGATATCTCACTCAGCCAGATATTGCCCCTGCAAACAAAAACGTGTTAAGTCAATTACTCATGTTCTTTTGTATTGTCACCTGTATGTGCATCTAAGGTATATTTACATTCTACCTTAAACAGCATGATGGATGCACGTAAGGTACAGACTTCTAAATGACTTCTCCTCTGACATCACTGAGAAGGTGGCCAAGTTTCTCTGCTCTAAAGCTGTGCCAAAGGACCCCAGAGACATAATACTTTTATAGATGTACCTATGGGTCAAGTTTTTACTTTGCTCTTAAATTGTATAATCTGTATCGAAAATTTATACCAATAAAGGCTAACTTGAACTTACAATATTTTTTCAACAGCCTCTAAAGTTTACTTTGTTGCCATTCTAGCATGCTAGAAAACTCAAAACAGAAATGGGGATGTGATAATAATAAATGCAAGCCCACTACTCAGAGCTTTTTTATCATTTGTGCTTATTTCTGGGTATGATCTTATAAGTTCTCATCTTGCTTTTATTTATTAGTAGAACTAATCAATGGAGATTTTTTACCATGCAGAAACAGTGTACTTAATGGACTTTCTAGCATGTCATTTAATTGTCTCTGATACAAACTGTGTCAGGCATTTATAGATCCAAAAACAAAACTTTACAAGTTTGGGAATGCTGCCTTCTATTCCATTTCTCATTCACAACCAGTCACACAAAGAAGCCTTTTTATGACTGCATTGTTCTCTTGGCTCAATGAGATTGTTACCCACCCACTCAGTGTTGGGGCTCCTACTTCAGTATTTCGGATGTGGGGCTGGAAGTCAATTTATTGCTTGTAAAGGACACTGGAAGGAGGAGGAAGTGGAACATGTCTATTTATACACAGGTTGTGCAGGTACCAGGCACACAAACTGCCCTATCCAGCTTTGAGAACCTCTTGGGCTCAGACCTCCTTAACTTGGAGAAAAGTCTTTAAAAAAATTAGTACAACATAACTGAATAAATATGAGTAAGATAATTATATAAACAATTAATATAAAACCATTACTGTAGGCAACAGCTCATGATAAATTAGGGCAGACATATACTATACACTTGAAACAGGTTTGTCACAGATTGCTTTCTAAGAGTTATAATGGGGAGAGATCACAAGGGATCTTTTACAAAGCATTCTAGGCATCCTCACAAAATTACATTACCCAAAGTTGTCTGGAGAAGTTGCGATAAATGGTTTGATGCAGGTTTAATGTTCCAGTGTTGTATTAGGGCTACATCATATTGTAGGCCTGTGATCAGATTTTTCCAGCATGTAGTTCATCCTTTAAAATCATCTGCCTGGAGGGAAGCTATTTGGATTATAACAACAAGCTGAGGATATAGCGTAATGCATCACACAGTGGCAAAAATAGTTGTCATCAAATGTGAACTTGTAGATCTGACAAAAATATGCAGTCTATCATTGAAATCTACCTCAGCTCCTGTGGACTGGCTAATGTAACCCCTATCTTTTCAAAAGGTTCCAGAGGATATCCAGGAAATTACAGGCCAGTAAGTCTAACATCGATACCAAGTAAGTTGGTGGAATCTGTTATTAAAGATAGAATAAGTAGGCACACTGATGAACAAAAGCTATTGAGGAAGAATCAGCATGGATTCTTTAAGAATTCTTGTCTCACCTGTTAGAGTTCTTTGAGGGGATGAACAAACATGTGCACAAGGGTGACCCAATAGATGTTGTTTACCTAGACACAGAAAGTTTTTGATAAAGTTCCTGGTCAAAGGCTTCTAAGAAAACTCAGCAGTCATGGGATAAGGGGACAAGTCCTCTTGTGGATTAAAAACTGGTTAATTAACAGGAAACCAAGTGAGTATACACAGGCAGTTTTAACAGTGGCGTTCGGTAAGCAGTGGGATACCACAGTGCTCAGTACGGAGTCCAGTACTTTTTAAGTTGTTCATTAATGATTTGGAGTTGGGATTAAGCAGTGAAGTGACTAAGTCTGCAGATGACACTAAGTTGTTCAGGGTGGAGAGAACCAGAGAGGATCGTGAGGCGCTCCAGAGGGATCTGTTGAGGCTGGGTGAATGGGTGTCACCATGGCAAATGAGATTCAACGCGGGCAAGTGCAAAATAATGCGGCAAGTGCAAAATAATGCACAGTGGAGCCAAAAATCCTAAATATAAATACACATTGATGGGGTCCGAACTGGAAGAGACTGACCAGGAGAGAGATCTTGGAGTTGTGACAGATAACTCACTGAAAATGTTGACCTGTTGTGCAACAGCAATAAAAAAAGTCAAATGCTATGCTGGAGATTATTAGGGGATTGAAAACAAATTACCCAGTATAATGCCCCTGTGTAAGTGATGGTGCGGCCTCATTTGGAATGGTTCTGGTCACTGGACCTCAGAAAAGCTATTATAGCATTGGAAAAAGTGCAGAAAAGGGCAACTGAAATTATTAAGGGGATGGAACACTTTCCCTATGAAGAAAGGTTAATGAGGTTAAGGATCTTTAGCTTGGAGAAACAATGACTGAGGAGTGACATGCTAGAGGTTTACAAAATTATGGACGGGATAGAAAAGATAGAGAAAGAAGTACTCTTCTCCCCTTCTCACAATACAAGAACTTGTGGGCACTCAATGAAATTAATGAGCAGTAGGTTTAGAACAGATAAAAGGAAGTACTTCTTCACCCAAAAAGTAACACATGGAATTAACTGCCACAGGAAGTGGTGGTGGCTACAAGCATAGGCAGCTTCAAGCAGGGATTAGATAAATATATGGAGCAGAGGTCCATCAGTGGCTGTTAGCCATAAGGTGCAGATGGAACACTATGGCTGTGGTAACACATGCTAAATAATCCACTTTCAGCACACTTTCTAACTGGATTTTACTGTGTGAACTGGCAAAATCCAGTTGGAAAGTGGATTATTTAGTGTGTGTGATCGCAGCCTATGTCTGGGGCAGTGATGCACTGTAGGTCTTGGTGCTTGGAGGGCAGCAGTGGGAGGGCTTCTGGAGTCTGGCCCCACTGATGGACCTCCTGAGGGCACCTGGTTTTGGGCCATTGTGTGACACAGAGTGTTGGACTGGACGGGCCATTGGCCTGATCCAACATGACGTCTCTTATGTTCTTATGTATACAAACTATAGCCAGTCCCAGCATCCTAACAAGAGTTGTGCATTTTGCCCATTTGTCTGTCTCCATTCATACATTAGGTTTTCACAGATAACACCTTAAAATATAGTGTGTGAATCAGTCCCAAGTCCAGTTATTCTGGAAAACCTGTTTACTGCTACCGCCTGTTTCAACCAAACTCACCCTTGTGTGGGGATTTGTTTTGCCAGAAGTCTCACTTGCATGTAGCAGAGAGTCCTCAGTCACCCACTGACCTATGAGCTGAATTTTGCACTTTTAATGAGATACACGAACTTGAATGTTGGTCCCAAAGGCCTTAAGTTCACTACTTGGCATTCAGATGCTGATTTACAGCTGCAGCTAAAATAGATAACACATCTTAAAGATGGATTGATTGTCAGGGGCTCCAATGTGCTGCTGCCCTTTTCCATTGTAGTGTCACTTGCTTCTTGGCGCTTGAAAGGGACCAATCGTTTTCTGGTATTGTTGGTGTTGCTGTGGACACAGCTGTATTCTCGTGTGCAGCTCTGTCTTCTCCCCCCTCTCTCTCTCTCTCTCTCTCTCTCTCTCTCTCTCTGTACATATTAATCTTTCTTTAGAAAAAGATCTGATGCAGTGCAAGACTGAGATTAGAAAGTATGGCTATATTTACACACATGCAAACACTCATTTCTGGCACAAAAACTGAAAGATGAGGTGATACGGGGCCTTTTGTCTAAGTTTAAATTTAGATTGAATGGCAACAGGAAGGAAATGAGAAGTAAAACTCTGTCACTTCTAGTTTGCAAACGCAAAGTTTTAGTAACCTCTGCCAAAGATTTGCTTTGTCTAATTCTTCATAAAAACATCTCTGTCATAAAAGCTGCAGTAGCTATCTTTACTATTATCCCCAGCAATGATAAGAGCTTTCTAGTGAGAATGTTATTGTAACGCTGTGCAGCTTTTGTAACAGCTTTGTAGCAGAGCAAGGTTACATTACAGGGCTTCATGCCATAATGGTGGTTATTTGGTTGTATTTATTCTGCATATAAATGAAAGTGTGCCATTTCTATATTCGTCAAGCTAGTTTGTTACATAAAGTATGAATTCATTTCTGAAGTGTGTAGGTAGGATGAGGGGGTAGATGTGCTTGCCCGCGGTCCTACATCTGTCAGCTGTCCAGAAATGTGTAGAAAGGGCAGATGATTTAATATGTCTAAAGCTGTAGCCTTTTAAGCAGTTAGTAATATATCAAGCAGCTGACAATGGTAGAGAGACCTGCCAGACCATGTTCTGTGTTTTCCACCCAAACACACAACTAGCTAAGGAAGAATCCAGCTGACCCAGTTGGGCTATCCATGTTCTGCTTCTGGAGGCAGAAAAATGCCTGTCCTTCTTGGATTTGCATGCCACAGCACTTGATGCATACAGGTCTACTTGCAGGTGTGCGTCTGGATCAGTGCCGGTGTGGGCAGATTGGGGGGAAAGACTTCATATTACTGTGCCTTTCTAAATGCAGACTTTGATGCATGTCTACTTCTGTTTGCTTACCTTATAACAATGGGTGCATAACCATTTTAACTTTGAAAGGCACCAGCAGCAGATAAATGGAGATGATCTCCTTGTTAGGGAAGTGGAAAAAAACATTGAGGTCAGGTGGCATAAAGGGAACGGGTTATTCTATATATTTGCACACGAGATTGGAAATCCTCCTCCCAATGTATTTGCAGCATTCATAGATCTTGTTATCTGAGGTGATTTACTTTAATCAGATTCGTAGAAAGCAGTCACGTATGTAACGCTTTGGCCCTCTTTGGAGCTGTATCAGTAGCGAGGCTAAGGGCAATCAAATGAGAGATGGAATTACAGGCTGGATCTGTTCTGTCACTGATAGGAATTTCCTTGCAGACAGAAATAAACAGGAGTAGTGGGGAACCTTAAAATCTATAAGGTGTTGTTTTTAACTCTAGCATAAGCCCTCATGGACTCAAGCCCACTTAGGCAGAACTATTCACAAATGTTTAACAGATTAATGTACCTAAAATGTGAAAAAGCAAGCTAATTCTACAATAAAGTTTCACAATTTTAATTGACACACAATTAGATTAGCGGAGGGTTTACCACAGTTTTTGATCTCCTTGTTTGACAAAACATCACATCTACATAATCTCATGTTTAGTATGAAGGCCACCATTTCTATATGTCCCTTGAAATTTAGGAATCACGAACTGAATTTCAAGTTTTACAAGACCTAGAGCAAAATGGGTGCCATGTGTCATAGATTTTTCCCACCCAATGCAGATTTCCCCTTTTTTCCTTTCAATGCAGC